GTTCTCCTAAGGGTCACGGGAGGACACAAACTAGCGTCCTCCCGTGACCCAAAGCTCAGTATAGCTCGCGGTATACTGTGACCGCCGCAGCCGAGACATTACTGTCGAGATCCACCCAGCTGCGTGATTGACAGCTGGTTCTGCCTATCTAGAGGCAGAGCTAGCTGTACCCGCCCCCTCCCCATCCGTTCCGCCAGTCAGCGGTGGAGGATCGGAGAGGGGGGGAATCCCTGCAGGGAGCCGTGAGTGACAGTCACGGCTCTCTGCAGGGACATGATCGAGAAGTGAGCGAGCGACGGTATGTGTTCGCTCACTTCTCGATCTATTGAGCCGACATGTCACAGTTTCATTGTCACACATCGGCTCGAACTATGAGGATGAGTGAAAATCACTCACCTCATAGATCTTCTTTAACAAAATTGAAAGTTTCCTTTAATTTGAACCACTTGCTGGAAATTTTGGGGAAGGCGACTAAAGTCCCAAGAGCACAAATATTCCAAGATGTAACAATACATTTACAATTCCTGCTCTGCTTTTAATCTTCTGAGTAGTCATAAATGAAACTGGCTTGCTTCTGTATTATTTGTATGGACTGGCAGTTCTCCTATACACAACTGTCTCCTGTTGTTCCTGTTTGTCTAATGAGCATTTGTTAATAATATTTCTTGAACGATGTAAGCTGCATGACATTGAATCAGCACCGCCCATCTCTCCTTCTGCTAGGAACTGTTTGCGTGTAGGCTGCGTCCTATAGCTGAGCCAAGATACATTACAGAGCTCCCTGTCAGGAACAGAACATATATATATATGATGATTTAATGGCATGTTGTCACTGTGTATGTTGTTCCTGGTGCATTGCACAATGGAAAACCTGTGCTGCATATTTCGAAGGAGCAAGCTATAATTCTATGCCAGTAAAATATGGACAGACTTTATTGTGCCAAAAATGTTTATGCATGCCAAACATATTCACAAACATAACCCCATCCGTTGGTCTGCTCCATATAATGACATAAAGGGTTTCCCATCACAGGCCTTAATAGAAAGTCAAATGCCCGTTCAAGCAAAAGTAAAAATGGTGGATCCCCTGGAAGTGGTTAAAAAAAATCAGGTATGGATGCGGTACTTGCTGGTTCTCCGGCATTGTCCCCGAGCCAGACTTACCAATCCAGCAATGTGGTGCCGGTCTTCTTCCAGGGTGAATGATCCCTTGTGCTGCGAGTCTGGGGTGTCAAGGCTCCACTCCTGCCCTAGACTCACAGGAGGAATATTTAGGATCCACCGAAAGAAGATGGTGAAGAGGATCTTTGACATCATTAGACCCAGCCGAAGACACTGTAGACATACACATTTTTATAAATGCAGGGGAAGGGGAGAGTTGGGCTTTAAATATAAAGAGTGTATCCATAATTCTTCCATTGTCTACACTGGTTTTCAAGGTCTCCGATACCCTTGATGCTTCCTGGAAGCCCTTAGCGTTGCAGAGGTCAACTTACTACATAAAGGGGGCTTTAAGTGTGACCCCTGATATTGTCCAAAGGTTTTACATTATATTCTGTAAATGTATTGGTACAGAACATTGTCAGAGACTGAAGAGATGCCATAGAAGTGGTTGGAGGCTGCAGGCGATGATTATACAAGGGTTACATGAAACTTCTAGAGACTACTGCCATTACAGTGCTTTCCAAACCAATGCTCCCACATCTGTGCTCCAGGGCCATCCTTACCGCAGGGCAAAAGGGGCAACTGCCCTAGACCGCATCATTTACAGGGGCCCACAGCAGCTGTCCCTTTTGCTCGGAGCAGTAGGCAGGAGAGCAGTGGCACTGCTGGTGGCAGGGGGGGACTGCATCCGGCATGTTGACAGCCAGTGCTGGTGATTGGCAGGTGGTGGCTGCTGGATCTGCAGGGTGCAAAGTGAGCACCTGAGATGCACGGCCACAGCAGGTAGAGAGGGGGAGCCCAGTAGCCAGATGAGGAAAGAGCCGCCGCTTATCAGTGAGTGCTGGGAGCGGCCGAAGCTGCACTCATCTCTGCTCATTGTCTGCAGTTCCAGAGAATGGAGCACCTGGCTGGCAGAGCATGATGATAATGCTGGGGATGGAAAGGGGGGGCCTAGCCTGGTGAAGGGGGGATGTTGCTAGCTGTGGATGGGTGGTGTGCAGCACGACTGTGCCAGGCGTAGAGAGCAACATCAGTGCTGGGTGTAATGAGGGTTTCCATTATTTTGTCAATTCATTGAGTATGCTGTGCTCAGAGAATAGACCTGTGTGCCAGGTTTCTGTGCAGCTGACCACCATCACTACTATTGCCTTTCAGAGTCCTGAGTCCATTGCATTGAACTAAATAAATATATACATTGTTTTTATTTTTTAATTTCTTTTCAGGCGAAGGTGATGTAGGTAGATACGAGGGTCTGGGCAAATTCTTGCCCAGGGCCCAGTTAATATTAAAGATGGCCCTGATTGGCTCTCGCCAGCAGTTAACAATAGAATGATCCAGTTGGGTATCATTCGCATACCTATTTCTGCTGAGTCTATATAAAATAGGTTGATCTCCCAAATCCAACTGTCTTCATTGCTCTCAGTTGAATGCAGACTTTCTCCATGTTTTATAGAGTTGTCATAGTGTCCATTTTTTGGAATCAGGTGCTTGATGAGCTGTCTCCCATACTGTCTAGACCAGTTATTTGTGTGTCGTTTTGGGTGCGGAAGAATGGAAAAGATTAGATTGTAAGCCCTCACAGGCAGAGCCCTCCTTACCATCTTGTCTTGAATTGTATTGTGATTGTAATGTCTTCCCTATATTGTAAAGCGCTGCGCAAACTGTTAGCGCTATATAAATCCTGTATAATAATAATACAAAAGAACGTTCTTAAATGAAACTTTATTCTTAGCTCGTTAATTAATAGCTAATAAATGGTTACAATCCGGGTTTGGTTCATCAAACAATCTCATGAGAAATGAATCTATCAACATAGAAATGGTCCTAATAAACACACAAAGGTGCTTGGATGGATTCTTGATGCATTGCGTGGTGGCCTCTCGCTTGGGGATGTGACGATACTGGGGTGCGAGTCTGAATATTAAAAATAGCATTCTCTTGTCCCCCAGTTAGAGCAAATGCATTCCTTCATTTAGTCATCTGCCAGGCCTTCCACATTCCACAGATCTACTTATCTGGCCTGTGATCTTTATTGCTCCCAGCACAAGTGAAAGTCCCAAATAATTAGGGCTGCAACAACTAATTGATTAAATCGATTATAATCGTTGGCAACGATTCTCATCATCGATTAGTTGCTTTTCGATTAGTTGCAGCTGCCGCTCTTCAGCTCTCCGCCGATGCTGGCTGCAGTGGTCTGTGTCCTTTTCAATCCCCGCCTGTGTCGGCAGATTAAAAAACAACAAAAAAAACAATTAGGCCGAGCTAGCAGTGACAGCTAGCTCCACCCAACTGTTTCCTATTGGCCACCACCTGCTGGAGTCTTCTAGCAGGTCCCGGCCAATAAATAACAACTGGGCGAAGTTGGCCGTGATGTTCCTCACCTGATCCTAGGGCCGGCTTGCTCTTAGACCAGTCACTGGAGCCTCTCCCCCTCTAGGCTGAAGCGGTCTAAGGTCCCGGTCTAAGGTATAGACATCAGGACACTTAGGAACACTCCAGCAGCCGGTTCAGGTGAGTATAACTTTTTCTTTTTTTTTTACCACCCAGACATGAACGAGCAGTTAACCTTTCCAGCGCAGGGGTAGCCCTACTGCAAGGGTTAAGAACACTTTTGCCCAGAGATCTTTAAGCGCATTAACATACAGTGGACCTGACTACCACTAGGAGATTGGAAGGATCACGTTTACACAAATTTGAAGGTTTTGACAGCTCGAGAAAGGACCCTGTCAGGGTTCTTATTTTAGTCTGTGTCCCCATTGTGAAGATTTCCCCCTCACTTCCTGTCTGGACACAGAAAGCAAATTTACTAAGACTGGAGCAGACAGAATCTGAGGTGAGTTCAGTTCCTTAGCCAAGCGCCGAGTAGCTGTTTCGCAGCACTTCAGTTTCAGTTTGCTGCAGCAGCTTCACTGAACACTTCAGCTGCATAACGCTGCCAGGTAAGCCCACATTTAAAATGGCCGCCGGTGCTCTGTCCCCCACCTCCCCACCTTCTCCATCACACTCAGCGCTCTGCATCCACATTCCTTTCTGCTGCAAGTGCTAAGTTCGCAGTCCTGAGCGCTGATCTGAAGCACAGCATTCAGCGGCGGTTTGCTAACTCAGCACTCGCAGCGGCTGAGCAACTGAACGTGCCTCTGGAGCCAGTGGCTTCACAAGGGAGGTGCAGCCCACATAGGGTGACACTGAAATGACTGACAGCTGCACAAAATAGGGGGTCCCTGGTGGCATACCTTATCCCTGCCTCTGTTTGCTGGCGTCTATCACCATCATTACGTAGGTCACAGGTATACGTTATGATGTGTGTACTGGGGGACACCCGTCCTGGTGACGCTGCTGTCTGGAGCATAGTAACCAATCAGCTTCTCTTTTCAGCTTGTTCAGTAAAGCTTTGAAAATGAAAGCCGGAAGCTGATTTGTTGCCATGCACAGCTCCTCCAGGATTTCTCTGCTTTTCATTAGTAAATCCCCCTCACAGTATAATAAAACACATGTATTTCCATTCAAACAGGGAACGGTTTATTATCATTACCTATGTTTTCCTGTCTAGTTGGCCATTGGCTCACCTCATTGCTGGAACAGGAAGTCAGGGAAAATAGAAAGGACCCCAGACAAACCATTATAGTGATGGTATGTTCTGGGTGTCTGATGGTAGAACTACAAGTCCCAGCATAACCAGCCTGATGGCTCCGTAAAAGTCTCCTCCACCGGACCTCAGATTCTCCATCTCCAGTCTCCACCACTCACAGCATGTCCGTTCACACAGACAGATAGTCACCATGGTAACCACGGTACGCTGAGTTCTGCACTGCACGTCACATCCGCTCCCCGACTTCCGGCTAGGCCTGGAGACAAGATGGCGGCGTCCGGGGAACCTGTACGGCTGGAGAGAGGTGAGCTGTCACCTATGCATCAACTGACTGTCTGATGTCAGTTAATCTCGAGATCTGTGCGAGCTCCTCCGATGTAGTAAAGTGCAGGGAACAGACGGTACTGACACCGAGGATGGGTGTCCGAGTTCCGGGAAGGAGGGGACAGGGATGAGAGGGGACAGAGATGGAGGGGGACAGAATCCAGGAATGGAGGAACAGGAGTGACCGAGTACAGGGCTTGGTTGGGGACAGAGTGACCGAGTCCACGAATGGAGGGGTACAAGAGTGACCGAGTACAGGGCTTGGTTGGGGACAGAGTGACCGAGTCCACGAATGGAGGGGTACAAGAGGGACCGAGTCCAGGCAGGGGTTGGTTGGGTACAGGAGTGATCGAGTCAAGGAATGGAGGGTACAAGAGGGACCAAGTCCACGCAGGGGTTGGTGGGGGACAGGAGTGGCTGAGTCCAGGCAGGGGGTTGGTGGGGTACAGGAGCGACCAAGTCCAGGAATGGAGGGTACAAAAGGGACCGAGTCCACGCAGGGGTTAGTGGGGGACAGGAGTGATCGAGTCCAGGAATGGAGGGTACAAGAGGGACCGAGTCCACACAGGGGTTGGTGGGGTACAGCAGTGGCTGAGTCCAGGCAGGGGGTTGGTGGGGTACAGGAGCGACCAAGTCCAGGAATGGAGGGTACAAAAGGGACCGAGTCCACGCAGGGGTTAGTGGGGGACAGGAGTGATCGAGTCCAGGAATGGAGGGTACAAGAGGGACCGAGTCCACGCAGGGGTTTGTGGGGGACAGGAGTGATCGAGTCCAGGAATGGAAGGTACAAGAGGGACCGAGTCCACGCAGGGGTTGGTGGGGGACAGGAGTGATCGAGTCCAGGAATGGAGGGTACAAGAGGGACCAAGTCCACGTAGGGGTTGGTGGGGGATACAATTACAGTAGAACTATGGCCTCCCATCAGAAATGTATTTGTGCTGCACCTCTTAATTGAAACTTCACAAAAAGTTTTCTTTTAGTCCCCTTTAAAGTCTCTTAAATACCTGCGGATCCTTCTAGTTATATGGAGCTCGTGATTCTTCCTGCATGAGGGGACAAGGATGCTGCACTGCTCCTGAATTTAGAGCAGCTTTGCCACCCTCCTGTAGGCTGTGTCTGCTTGTGCTACATTGGGATGAGGCAATGTTACAGGGGGCGTGGCTATCAGTTTTGGCACTGCTGATTCACACGCCTGTAGCCTGTCATCCAGTAGTTGGCCACACCTAGTCCAGCCCAGTGCTCTCTAAATCGGCAGCCCTGCTTCTGTTCCTGTAACCCTTCCATTGTAAGCTTCAGCATCTGGGAGGGGGAGTGTATGCAACACAAATGAAGGAGGCCTTGGCTGACTCAAGGAAGGCTTGTGTATTATGTAGTATTTAATTTGGGAATTTTTTTAGACTGTTGCACAGGAGCTTTTATATGTACTTTAGTTACTACAAACCAAGGAAATAGTATCAAGGCATAGATGAGCAAGATGTTGTAGAATAGCCTGGGAGATCACAGGCTGGGTAACCTGGACGTTTACAGGATCTCTACACCCACCACTAAGCTTACATATGGACAGTTAATATTCAATTCGGTGCACAGATTTCTCCATGGCTCTTCTCATCTAGGACTGGAAAAGGCGGCATAAATACAAGTCTTGTAAGCTATTCCATCTCACTCCTCTCTACAGCAGACGTGTATACAGTTGTCTTAGACATGTCACATGACACAGAGCAATAATGAATCCAGGTCCGATTTTCTGGCAGTGCCGCACATTGCTTGGCCAACGGTGGGGTCGGAATGGAAGAGCACATGGATAGAATGTCCTGGTCACCAGGGAATGTTTTCCAGTTGCCATGATGACAGGGTTTTGTCTAGCCCTTCTTTAAAACATTATATGATCTCCACAATCTCAGATATTGTTTATGGCATATGTCTAGGTGATTTCTTGTAAATATCAGATTAGCTCATGGAAATATGGGAACAGGGGTAACTGCACCCAGGGAAGGAGAAGGACAGTGGTGATTGATCCCATGGAGGAGTGACTGATTCTGGAAAAGTGTGGACACAGGGGTGATTTATTCAAGGGAAGGAGAGGAACAGGTGAGACTGAACCCAAGAATTGTATGGTAGTAGGTGGACCAAGTCCAGGGATGGGAGAGAATAGTGATGACCGAGTCCCGAGAAGGTGGGGGACAAGGGTAACTGAGTTCAGGGATGGAGGGGAGAGGGTTCACAGAGTCCTAGAATGGAGGAAACAGGGCTGACCAAATCCAATGATGGGGGGACTGGGTTCAAAGATGAGGGGGACAGGGTTGATAAAGGGAAAAGGGCTGGCTGAGTCCAGGGAATGTGGGGGTCACAGAGTCCAGGGATGAATGTAGGAGACAGGGCTGACTGAGTCCAGGCATGAAAGGGACATGGGTGACCGTATCCAGGGAAGGGAGAGATTAGACTCTATAACTACCAACAAACAAAGTTTGATTCGGTTCCCGCTGTTAATCTCTTGCAGATGACTGTTATCAGTTTCTGAAAAGTCTTTATGTACATACGTTACACATCAATCCCAGTATCTGTTCTGATGTCATCACTGCTCCTGTGGAACAATACTTTGGTTTTTCAGATTAGTGATGTTACGAGATTTGCAAGAATTCATTATTTACACTTTGTAATATGGGGTTTTCTTCTAAAGCTGGCCATACACCTTACAATTATCTGCAGATTTTCTGTGGTCAGATGGAAAAGGTGCAACAGATTCCTCCATCTACACTTAACTGTGTGGATGGAGTAATCGCCACCCTGGCCAATCTGTTGCACTTTTTCCATCTGACCACAGAAAATCTGCAGATAATTGTAAGGTGTACAGTATGGGCACCTTAAGACACCATATCTGTACACAGCTCTGAGCAGTCTATTTTGCACATGATCCCCACCCACTCACTAAATTCAGTTTGAGTTAATTTCATCAGACTCCAAGGAGAGAAAAAAGATTTGGAGCTTTGCAGAGTATTTTCTTGGTGTAACAGATGGCTGCTAAGTGAACAGATACTATGTGGGAGCTGCACAGCTATTAAAGCCTTTACACTTGCAGCAAGCATTTTTTTTTGTCTACACTGAGGTCAGTATTTGGTTTGAGAAAAGATTAACAGGCTTATTCATCAAAAAAAAATATATATATTAGAAAGCAGAATGTTAAAGCCTAACTCCTGTCTTTTTTTTTTTTTTAAAGCTTCCCCTGGACATTATTTTTTGGTGGTGTGAACAGGACACATGGAAGTCAGTTGTTTTCTGTGTGTCCTTTTCAAGCCATACATGTGCGGTGGTGTGCAGAAAAGTGCAGCTCAGCAGACATGGTTTGAGCAAGCCCTAAATCACCTAACCTAACACCCTCCACAACCTCTCAGTCGCCTCTGCACTTAGCTGTTTAGATGACAACCTTCCACCTCCTCAACCAGTGTAACGGGCAACACAATTCAGAACTTCACAGCATAGCCCCGAAGACTGTGTAGCATCATAATGCTGGCATTGGTGAGCTGTCATTGGTCAGCATGGCCACGTCTTTTTTTTTTTTAGACACTATGGCCCCATTCACACATGGATCGGCCTGCACGTACAGCTCCGTGCGTGGCCGTATCAAGTAGCTGCCGGGAAGGACAGGTGCTGCGTGTGATTAGAACGCAGCTTCCGTCCTTCTCTAAGGGGCTGCGCGGCCGTACGCCCCTCACGCTCACCTCATTTGCAGGTCCGTAGGGGTGCAGGTTTTCTGGCCGGGACGCATACAGGATCTATTCCGGCGGCGTATGAATACGATCACCCGCACCCCTACGGACCTGCAAATGAGGTGAGCGTACGGGGGCGTACGGCCGCGTAGCCCCATAGAGAAGGACGGGGGCTGCGTTCTAATCACACACAGCACCTGTCCTTCCCGGCAGCTACTTGGTACAGCCCCGCACGGAGCTGTACGTGCAGGCCGATTCATGTGTGAATGGGGCCTAAATTGTCAAAAGTATTGGGACACCCCTCCAAATCATTGGATTAAGATGTTCCAATCACCTCCATGGCCACAGGTGTATAAAATCAAGCATCTAGGCATGCAGACGCTTCTACAAACATTTGTGTAAAGGTGCCCATACGCCCGCCGATTATTGTACGATAATCGGGGGTGATCCTGCGATCGTATGATAATCGGCAGGTGCATGAGCAGCTTCTACTGTAAGGTCGCACGACATTCGTCTTCTGAGCACAATTGAAAACCTGCAGGTTAGTGGCGTGCTCCGGAGACGAATGCCGCACGAGCCGGTGTGCACAAGCGCGCACTGCCCGCTCAGCACTGGAATCATCGCAAGTACGATCTGCGGGTCCAAGATGGGCAGATCAGACGAAATTTTAATTACCTTACAACCATCGCACAACGAAAGTCGTGCGATGGTTGTAAGGTATATGGCCACCTAAAGAATGGGTCGCTCTCAGGAGCTCAGTGAATTCAAGCATAGTACCGTGATAGGTTGCCACCTGTGCAATAAGTCCATCTGTGAAATGTCCTTGCTACTGAATATTCCACGGTCACCTGTTAGTGGTATTATAACAAAGTGGATGCAACTGTAAAAAAGATTTGGAGCTTTGCAGAGTATTTTCTTGGTGTAACAGATGGCTGCTAAGTGAACAGATACTATGTGGGAGCTGCACAGCTATTAAAGCCTTTACACTTGCAGCAAGCATTTTTTTTTGTCTACACTGAGGTCAGTATTTGGTTTGAGAAAAGATTAACAGGCTTATTCATCAAAAAAAAATATATATATTAGAAAGCAGAATGTTAAAGCCTAACTCCTGTCTTTTTTTTTTTTTTAAAGCTTCCCCTGGACATTATTTTTTGGTGGTGTGAACAGGACACATGGAAGTCAGTTGTTTTCTGTGTGTCCTTTTCAAGCCATACATGTGCGGTGGTGTGCAGAAAAGTGCAGCTCAGCAGACATGGTTTGAGCAAGCCCTAAATCA